ATTATTTTTGCAAAGAGCATATGCTATAGCTTTTCCACCTTCAACACCGATATTGTTATAACTAATATCTACTAAAGAAGTCAAAGTATAGTTTCTGTAAAGAACATTAGCCAAAGCTTTTCCACCTTCATCACCGATCCTATTATAAGAAATTTCTAAAGAAGTCAAAGTAGTATTTTTACAAAGGGTATCAGCTAAAGCTTTTCCTCCTTCATCACCGATCTTATTATCACTTATGTTTAAAAAAGTCAGAGTAGAATATTCACAAAGAGCACCAGCTAACGCTTCTCCTCCTCTAAAATCAAGTTGATTTGTTTCAATGTTAAAGTAGTGTTTTTATAGAGTGCCAATATAAATAGCTTTGTATCTTCATAACATAAATCATTGTTGTTGAGCTTTAACTAGTTAAACTAGTATTCTCACAAAGAGCATTCGCTAATGAATTTGATCCTTTAGGAGGAATGTGAAGATTAAAGGCTAAGGATGCTAGAGTTGTGTTTTTATAAAGATTTTCTGCTAATAAATTTATCATAAATTTATTTATATCTTCAGAAGATTGATATAAAGCAACTTATCATAAGTAATATCGCAACCAAACCGTTCTTTTGTAATTTCAATACAATTAATTCTATCACCAGTTCGTAAAAGCATTGAAATCAACAAATAACTGATCGTTTTAAGCATGTCCATTCCATTTTCTTCATATTTGTTGAAAAATTCACCGATTTTGTTAAATAAATTATATGTATATATATGCAAGTATGTAATATATTTTGTATACTCAAATAATGGTTTTGGGAGCATTATATTTAATGGAATTAAAAAAGCTTGTTCCTCAGTGTTTAACGGTAATAAACATGTTCTTATAAAATTTTTATTAATAGATAACCCTTCTATTCTGTTCCACAACATCGGTACAACATGTCTACACCATTGACGGTTTACAAGAAGGAATGACAATAGGCATTTACGATCAAGGTATTTTAATATTTCCAAAAAGCATTCACTAGGTAATGTTATCACCCATTTTGTGTATTATTTATTGAAATTTGAAGAGAGCAATTTAGGTTTGCCAAAATAAGTATTTAAATTATTTGGGCGTGTAATACAAACCAAAAAAGGACATTCAACTTAGTCAGAATTATGTGTGACGTGATTTACTTATGATTAAAAGATGAAAGTGCGATTTAATGCGATTTAAATGATGTTAACTGTCTCTCATTTTAGGATAAACTATGAAGAAACATACTTCTGTTATCGAGTAACCATAAATTATCATTATTTTGTGACTGTCGTCTTAACAGGCTACATTTAACGTTTTTCAGCATACAATCCCACCATCTATTCTTATTTATGACTGGCGTCCCGGCAGGCCACACAAATTATGCGTCGCTCTAACGCGAGTATGGTGGGATGGATCGATATAACCAGAACGAAAGTCGGGTTCGCAGAAGAAACAAGTTAATTCCCACGTACGATCCATTTACTCATAATCAATCAGTTACTTCATACTTACTAAGACTAATCACTCTAACCATACTTTCATCAATGATCGTATTACTAATTACCTGATTACCTCATACTTACGTTCTATCAGTCAACCGAATCGATCGAACATGTGATCGTAACCGGGCCCTATAAGAAAAGTGGTCCGGGGTGTGGTCCGGGGTGGTTTCGGTAATATCCGTAATGGTTCGGGTTCTGGTACGTATAGGTTCATTGTACGGTATGGTACGTTCTAGAATAACACGTGATTGTACGTTCACAGCACGTATGTACTTGTTGAACGAGATGGTACGTGTGTGTTGGAGATGGTACGTACGTGTGTAAGTAGGACATGCTCCGCTGAATGTACTGTTTTGTAAGCTATATCGATATTAATAAATCTAAACCTATTCGGCTATTCATAATGGCTAAATTTCTCGAAGAATTTTGGTTTAGAATTTGAGCTTAAGAAAATTACTATTACGAACATAATTTTGTATGATTCTAATAATCATTTAATGCATTCATAAATTTGTCTATTTAAAAGCTAATTTATTTGAATTTGTTCTATATGAATTTTGTCTAAAATATTTGCGTATTCTATAACCAATTAATTACAAATATAATTGCAAGTATTGGTACCAATATTCTATTTAGAAAAAAATGTTCAAATTTAAAACTGAAATTTAAAGTTGGTTTAATTTTTCTTATCTATAATGTAAAAGTAATTTCCAACTTTTAAAAATCCTACACATCTTTGTATCATTGATACATCTACAAACTCATAATCACCGAATTCTTCAAAACTATATAAGTTATATAGTCCTTTTCGTACATTCTTAGCATTGTGAATATATGCAAATAGCTGATATTTTCCATCATATACATAATAAAAATAAAAATGTACATAACCAAAATATTGTTGTAATTCATATTTTTTGGTATGTTTTAGCTTAGAAACATTGACCTCAAGCTTATACTTATAAAAAATAATATATATATTAATTAATAAAATAAATCTATAACATATATTATATATTAACAAAATTAGCTTACCATTACGCATGAATTATCACGAGCATTAGCTGCTACTTTAGACATTAAAGAACCAATCATATAACCTTCTTTTGTACGAAGTTTGGCATATTTTATACCCCAATCATTTAACTTGTATAATATAAAAAAATTAGCATATAATTAATATTTTATAATAAAAAAAAAAATTATAATAAAATAA